GGACCAGATTTAACTTTTTTAGACAGACAAAATATAGCTCTAATGTTTGCATAAAATCTACAGTTCATGTAGAAAATTACATTAAACTTGTTTTGCAAGTTTGACACAAAATCATGAAAGCATGCTTGAAATGATTCAAATCATTTGTAAATCTTTTTATCAGTCTGGAAACTACATATACCATTCAGCCATAACATTACGATCACCCAGTTGATATGGAGCAGCCACCAGCTGACCAGTCAGTGCATAATATGATTTAAGGGTTTCCTGGAGTGACTGGTAGCAGGGACCGTGGGATCTCTGTACAATGGACTTGCTTCTCATGGACACCTTCAAATGTGTATGTTTTGAACCTGGGGGCCAGGAAACACCTTGGACTCTTTCACTTTCTGTGAACCCCACTGCTGTCCCCAAAAAGGCTGTAAAATGTTAGAAAGTGCAGCTGCTACAGTACGTGGGAGGAAATGATTGATCAGCAGACAAGTGTCAAAGTTATGCAGCTTTCAACAAGATGAGCAGCATTTCTCCTGTTTCCCATCAGTGGTCATAAAGTTGTGGCTGATTTTTGACTTACAAATGATATTTATAAAAACTGCAATAGTTTAAAACAACTTCTAATCTGTAATAACACATGGAGAATCCAAACTGCTTAAGAAAACAAGAGAAATCATCGAATGGATAAAAACAGGATTTTATTTGCTGCTTTACAAAACTAAACTATGGAGCAGGAAAATCTTTTGACCGAGGTCACTGGGAAGAAGCTTTTACCAGTAAAAGAAAGAAAACACACCTGCGTGGTGCTCCGGTTACATTTAAAACGCTGCTTTTACTTCAAGTTCATGGCAAGAGACAAATTACACAAGAACAAAAAACCAAGTCAAGTCAAATGAAGTCGGCAACATAAGAAAGTAACGAACATCACATGTTGAACTAATGGAAAAAAATTATTTTCAACAGGATTTACTTGAGTAAAATTAATAAATGTGTAAAGTTAAATAAATTCAAAACTGTGCAGTTGTTAAAGTTTGAGGTTTAATTACTTTCACGTGGTCAAAATTAACTCCTCTGGTGACCTGAGACTATTTACACACGAGTAAGCCTTTAAATACCCAAAAGTACTTTATACACTGCAAAAATCGTCCGCATAACATGTTGCACTTTATTACATACACAATCATGTAAAGTGTTCACAAATAGGGACTTTAGAGATGCAGTGAAGAGCGGACTCTGATATTCTGAACAGAAGCGTAGAAATATAAGCTGCACAGATACAGCTGAGATGAATGACCTGGTCAGCTCTGGAACCAATCAAGGGAACTAAAACTACAACTCTGGTTATGAGCTGATCGACTGACGTACAATACCGACATGGATAAGTGTCAAAGTAATGTCCAAATAAATGTTGTTTTAAAAACTTTGCCTCTCAGAGCAATAGAGTAGGGGTGCACCGACTGCAGTTTTCTGGCCCATCACTGATTCTTAAAAAGCCTGACCTGCTGAATCAGATTTTGTTTTATAATCGACACTGTCAGGAGTTATAAGTTCACAACGCACCTTCAATTTTACAACATTATTTTATTGAAAAACATACCCTCGAACAATATCCTAGAAACAATACAAACTTATTTAACTGGCCATGAGGTAGTGCTCAGAAATATAAATGAAGTTTAGACAACTGTTGTTAAAAATAAAAAAATACAATTTAAAAAAATCTTTAAAATCAGTTTCTCATGAAAGTTTCGTCCGATTTCGCAAAATTCATGAAATCAGGGCCGATAAATCGGTGCACCGCTACAATAGGGATCTTGTTGAATTTTAAAGTTGTGGATGTTCTTGTTGACTTCCTGTTGTGGGTGGAGTTACACACAAGTGTGCACCTTTCAATAATGGCCACAGGTCGCTCTAGACATAGATATCAATAAACACTAGATCCAGCATTGACCTCGATCACCTATTGGCGCTGACGAGCTGTAGAGCCGCCATCTTGGAACGGTCGCCCGCTCCACTCAGTGTCACCAGTTTGACGGAGCGATGAAGTATCTGTGGTTGAATCAGTCAGAGCTGAATACTAAACTCATTCTCACCATTTGTTCCTCTGTAAATCTCAGGAGTACAGACATTAAAGATGAACACATGGTTCAGTGTTTTTAAATATTCTTGGTGGAGTTACCATTAACATTAATAAAATATTATTATGACACGTTTGCAAAACTCATAGTCACTGATACATTTTTATTAAGATATATATATATATTATATATATAATATATATATATATATATAATATATATATATATATACATACACACAATTACATCTATTTTATATATAATCACATATTGCCACCATATATAAACACACATTATAATCAATCAATCAATCTCTCTCTCTCTCTCTCTACATATGTATATATATATATATATATATATATATATATATATATATATA